ATCCATAGAAAATACAGCCTCCTTGATCTCTTCTAAACTAAAACTTCTTTCCAACCTTCTCCTGTTCTCCACCCCTACATCTGGCCAATCCAATCCTTCTACCCACACCCTTCTACACACAGGCCTTCTTAGAATAGATTTGAAGTGCTCCACACAGGCCCCAGCAATCTCCTCTTGATGTACTAACTCAACTCCATCTACTACCAACTTGGAGATTAGGTTCTTCCTTCTCCTGCCATCTGCTAGAGGGTGGAAAAACCTAATGTTTTTGTCCCCCTCTTGCACCCATTTACACCGAGATTTTTGCCTCCAACTAATTTCCTCCTTGTGCAAGCAGTCCTCTAACTGTCTTCTCAAAATTTTCCTGAGCTCATTATCTTCCACTCCAAATTCTCCCCTTTCTTCTTTAGAGTCAAGGCTTTTCAATCTTATCCAACAAATCTCCCTTTCTTTCTTCCATCCTCCCAAATTCCACTCCTTGATTTTTGCTTTCAAAAATTGAAGTTTCTTATGGAATTTCATCCCCTCCCATTCCACCAATGGGTTACACTCATACCACCACTCCCTCMCTTTGTTAGTAAACCCTGGATGGAGTAACCACATATTTTCAAATCTAAAGGGGGTAGGACCTCCATGCCTTCTTTCCTCCTTACATAACACTATGGGCCAGTGATCGGAGGTCACCCTTGGAAGAGCTCTAGAAGCCAAGGTTCCCACTGATCTTCCCAATCCAGAGAGAATAGGAATCTATCCAGTTTAGAGAAAATGGGTCTAGATTGGAGATTTGACCAAGTAAATGTCTTATGGGCTAGGGGGATCTCTTTAAGCTCAAAGTCATCCACAAAGTTGTTAAACTTCCTCATGCTTTTTGTCAYCCTYYGGTTAACCTTATTGGATTCCTCCGAGAATCTAATCACATTAAAGTCCCCACCCAAGCACCAGGGCCCATCCCACAATCCTCTAACATCAGCCAATTCCTCCCACAACTCCTTTCTCTTTCTATAGTCATTCAGTCCGTAAACATTTGTGAGCACCTACGTAAAATCACCCTCATGCTACTTAAACTTCACGGAAACCGAGTACTTTCCCATCAACTCCTCCAGGCCTTCAACCACATCCCTCTTCCACATTGTTACAATCCCCCCGAACGCACCCCAAGAGGGAGCAACCACCCAGCTAATCCCCCTGGCTTTCCAAACACTCCATGCCCAATTGTTATTAAACTCCATTCTCTTAGACTCTTGCAACAGCACAATGTCTGGGTCAAACCGTTTTATTGTCGCTCTCTTCCTTGCACTCCCAATTCCCCTCACATTCCAACTAAGAATCTTCATTC